GGTCTGTAGTTCCACGTTCTCATGCTTGCTCCTTTCTTAAATAGTTGGGGGATATTTGCCAACTTCCAATCTGCAGGAATGCAGAACCACATTAAGGTGTAAAATCAGGTGCTGGGGATGCACCTGCTTCCCAGCCCACTACCCTCCCACCCTCCTTCCCCTCCCACAGCTAATCACCCCGATCATACCACACCCAACCATCACTCATCACATACAATCGCTGCCCCCCCCACCCCACCAAAAGCCCACCTATGAACCTTGCCACATTCACCATTCCCCCCAGAGCTCAAACTGAGGCCAAACAGTTTGTCCTCTGTAAAAGGGCTCACGGTTTCTGCCCCTCCATCCCCACCTCGAGTTCTGTGCCCACCACGACGTGGAACTCTTCTTCTGCCAGCTCCAAAGCTGCTGCTTCAATTAAAAAAAGACTCCCCTCCACCCTCCAGGGACTCCTTCTCTTGCCTCCAACTTTCCTCCTCCCTCTTGGAGGCCCCCTGCTGGCCTCTTACCCACCCTGGACCTCTTGCTAACTGCAATTGCAATATCAACTGCCTCAATTTCTCCACCCACACCAACCTCTCCCTCTGACGTTCCATTCTCTCCATACCAATCCCCATTTCACCAAACTCGCTGACAAACATGGGGCAGTGGTAGTCTGGAGGACAGACCTCTAGATCGCAGAGGCCAAATGCCAGCCTTCTGACACCACGTCGCATCTCCCCCTTGACCATGACCCCACCAAGGACCATCAAGTCACCATCTCCCACACTGTCCATGATCTCATTGCTTCCTCCTGTGACGTGACCTCTCCTCCACCACCTCCAGCCTTATTGTCCCCAGCCCTACACTGCCTGGTTTACCTGCTCCAAGATCCACGAGCCCAACTACCCCACCCAACCCATCGTTTCTGCCTGCTCCTGCCCCACTGAACTCATCTCCTCCTACTTCAACTCCATTCTCTCCCCCTTGGTCCAGACACTCCCCATCTACATACAGGACACAAACCACACCCTCCACCTCTTTGGCAACTTTCAGTTCCTGGCCCCCACTGCTTCATCTTTACTATGGATATTCAATCCCCATACCCAACAAGGACAGCCTACAGGCCCTCAGTTTTTTCCCTCTCCAACAGACCCATCCAGTTCCCCTGCCACTAATACCCTCCTCCTCCGAGGACTTTTCCTTCAGTTCTTCCCACTTTCTCCAAATCCAGGGGGTTGCCATGGGCACTCACATGGGCCCCAGCTACACCTGCCTGTTTGTCAGTTATGTTGAACAGTCTCTTCAGTACGTACACTGGTGCCGTTCCCCAACTCTTCCGCTGTTACTTCGATGACTGCATCAGTGCTGCATCCTGCAACCAGGCTGAACTGAAGCAGTTCAGACTTTGCTAACAACTTCCAACCTGCCCTCAAATTCAGTCTCAGACACCTCCCTCCCCTTTCCTGACCTCTCCGTTTAGAGATCTGGTGACAGCTTACCTACTGACATTTACTATAAACCCAGAGTCCCATAGCTACCTAGACTACACCACCTCCCACCCTATATCCTGCAAAAACTCCATTCCATTTTCCCAATTCCTGTGTCTCCATCACACCTGCTTTGATGAGATGTTCCACTCCCGAGCATCCCGAACGTCTGTCTTTATCAAACACTTTTATACTCCCCCACCGGAGATCCAAGCAGCCCTCCACTGTGCCTCCATTCCCCATTCCACAGCTCTTGACCACCACCCAACCCTCCAAACACAAGGATAGGGATCCCCTTGTCCTCACTTCCCAGCCCATCAGCCTCCACATCCAATGTACCTTCAAAACAAAGGATGGGTCCAATTAGATCGCACTTCCTGGAACATCTTCCACTCCCCATCCCTCTTCCTTCCAAAGGACCATTCCCTTCGCTACTCCTTACTTTGCACCACAATCCCCAACAACCACTCCAACCCGCCTGGTACCTTCCCCATAACTGTAAAAGATGCACCACTTGCCCATAGACCACCTCCTTTTAAGAACCTAAACAGCCCTTCCAAGAAAGCGAGCCTCACCTGCATCTCCTCTAACCTAGTTTATTGCATCCGACACTCCTGATGTCTTATCTACATCAGAGAGACCAAACATAGACTAGGTGACTTTTTGCCGAGCATCTCTACCTGGCTTGTAATGGCCAACCTAACCGCCCGGTCACTGCCCATTTCAACTCCCTACCCCACCACCCCTGACACGTCCAGCATCTGCCTCTTCCATTTGCTGCAGCAACTCAGAACCCAAATTTGAAGACGGCCACCTTATCTTCTGTCTGGGCACCCTACAGCCCTGAGGACTCAACATGGAGATCTCCAATTTCAAATATCCTTGCCACCCATTCCACAGCTCCCCTTCCAGCCCCACCATCTGATCCTCCCTTCCAGCCACTAACTGGATTCATCCCTCCCATCAACTAACCAGGTCGTACCTACCACCAGTGTCCACCTACCACCACCATTCTGCCTTCACCCTTTTCCCTCCCTCCCCCATTATCTGCAGCTCCCCCTATTCCCACTTGGCGTTCTGAAGGGTAATACCCAAAACTTTGACTGCTCCTTTCCCCCAGATGCTGCCTGGCCTGCTGTGCTCTTCCAGCTTCCTGTGCGTCTATCTAGGGATAGATCAACTTTCAGCCTCTAATTTCACTAGCAAATCGTACTAATACTTATTTCCTTCAGCACCCACTTGGATCTCTAAATTGGAGATGTCTTGTCTTCTGCAGGGAAATCAGATGAAGTAATCATTTAGCTTCTCTACCATTTCTCTATTTTCCACTGATGTAATGGAATGGAATTTTTCCTTTTAGCTATAGAAGCTCTTAATGTATTTGTGTTTTGCTTTGCTAAATTGCATTCATATTCTATTCTCCCTTTCTTGAATTTTTTTTTTTTTTTTAAAAAAAAGATCATTCATTTGTGGGCATCACTGGCTAGACCAGCTTTTATTGCCCATTCCTAACTTCCCTAAGGGTAGTTAAAGAGTCAACCTCACGGCTGTAGTCTGGAGTCACATGCAAGCCAGACCAGGTAAGGATGACAGTTTCCTTCCTTTAAAAAGGACATTAGTGAACCTGATGACTTTTCCAAAAATTGATAATGGTTTCATAACCATTAGACTCTTCATTCCAGATTTTTATTCAATTCAAATTTCCCCATTTGCCACGGTGAGATGAACCCAGGTCCCCAGAACAAGTTCAGAGTCTCTGGATTATCAGTTTAGCAATAACACCACTAGACTATTATATGCCCCAAGTTATTAGTAACTTGAAGGATAGGAAGTTTTTAGAATTAGCAAAGGAGGAACTATGTTTTTTTGGCAATTCTAATTGAACACCAGATCATTAGCTGAGCATTCATTTATCACATCCTTAGTAAAAAATTCTAGCATCTTGGTCTACAATTCCCCCATATTTGTGGTCACTCATCGCTAAGTCTTTTGTCTAATTAAAAGTTCTTCGACCTTTATTCACTCCATAAAGCTAGATTTAAAACAACCAGTCCTCTAATCAGGTTCTCCTCCCTAGAAAATACACAATCACTAACCTGTCAGAAAACTCATCTTCTACAGCTTTCATGCTCAGTTGGTTTATCCAGCCTATAGGCAGAGCAAAGTCACCCCAATTATAACTTTTGCCCATTCTACATTCCTCATCTCCTGATTTATACAATGTCTTATAATACCACTATTTAGTGACCTGTAAATAACTTCAGCCAATGTTTATTGCCCCTTGCAGTTTCTTAGCTTCACTTCAAACAGACTCCACACTATTTTCCCAATCCAATCCTGCCTTATAAATTTAGTGGTCTCATCACTCATCAGTGCAATTCCACCTTTTCCTTCTGGTCTATTCTCCCTTAATATCAAATATTCTTGGCTATTTGATTCCCATTGTTGCATCACCGTGCAGCCAATCTTCTAATGGCAATTAGATCATACCCATTTACTCCTCTAGAACTACCCAGTTGCAAGTACTGCATGCATTCAGATAGTGTGCCCTTTGCCTCATCTTTGAGAGCATTCCACATTTCGATGCAAACTCGATGCTCAGCTTTTGATTCCCTAGCAGTTTTCTACTTCCTGTTACCAACTTCACTTTCTTCCAATTTGGGTTACACCTCAGTCTCTGATCCCCAACAAGCTACTTTAAACCCAGCCCAACAGCACTAGCAAAAAAAAAAAAAAAAAATAAGTGTCCCTGCCACATTATCAAGCCCAGCCCTGTAACTGTGTAACCCAAATTGAGTTTGTACAGTTGCCACTTTCCCCAGAAAGTCCCAATGCCTCTGCAATCAGATGCTCTCCTGTCATGTTTAATTGATTAAGCCTTCTGTTCTTGTAGATGGCAGCACTGGGAGTCATCCTGGGATTGCTGCTTTTGAAGTCCTGCATTTTAACTTCCTTCCTAGCTCCTTGAATTCTGCTTTCAGGGTTTCATCTTTATACCTTGCGTCACTGGTACCGATTTGGATTACAACTCCCCACTGATTTCCTCTCCCCTAGAAGCATGTCTCGCAGCTGTTCCATGACATCCCTGACCATGGCGCATTACCTCATGTTCACATCATTGCAGTTATGAGCCTTCCTATTTTACCAGAGGAACAGCACATTCAAGTCAGATACTAGCCCGATCTATTTGGGCTTTTGGAGTATTTTAGTCTGTCTTTTAAAGATTGGAGAAAGCAGAGGAAAAAAAAAAAGGACAGAATGCAGGTCAGTGTCTTAACCTTAAAAGACCATGTAACAAAGCATTCGATGCTTTAAGAACTGTGTGAGGAAAATTCACCAACGTCCCTACATCTCACTGCAATTGCAATAGCAATAAGAGGTATACACTGAATAAGTGAAAAAGTTCACATTTAAGAGGCCAAGGCAAGTTTGTCCCAATGAAATGTCTCTCAACCCACTCATCAGCCCAATCAGATTCGTTCCTGGTCATACACCATAGGCAAGCTTCCAATTCAAAAATGAAAGTTGAACCTGTGTAAGGTTGGGTTGGTAGGTGCTGTACAACGACCTAATTTCTGTGTGCTCGGGTACAAGTCCTTGCTGTCTCAAAACATGAAGTGCAAGCCGTTCCTCTGGAGGTCCAAGATGGATATTTAAAGTCTTGTTACGTTCTGTATTAAAACAAAAAGAAAGCAAGCTCAGAATTTTAAGAACAAAATGCAATGCAAACTAAATTATTTATTCCAAGAGTGGAGGATAGCCTTTTGACCTTTTCTTCAAAATCGCAAGGCTTAGATATCCCCAACCCATTCATTCTTTTGAAATTTCTCATTGGACCTCTCCACACCAACACATGCTCATTTCTTTGAAGCAACAGCTGCCAGAATTACATATCTTATAATTGGCAGTGACCACAAAGTTGAATTTTTTTTGGTTTGGAGATCCAAAAATCCAGGGTGTTTATTAAATGAATGAAGCTACGTGGTTCACCTGCTTAAAATAAAGCTCATTTTACTGAATAAAAAAAATTTAAAACCCAAAAATCTGTTAAAGATGTGCAAAAGAATCAATTGGTCATTTTCTAAATTGAGCTTCAATTTTCCTTCTACGCCCATTTGACACACATTACACATCAAATACTTACCAAAGATTGGAAGATTAAACACTTTGAATACAGTTTCAATGATTTAAGGTTGAAATTTCTTGGACTTTCTGCCTGCTTCTGGCAGGGTTTTCCCTTGCAACTGAGGGGCATTGGGAGGAGATTTAGATTCCCATGTCTCTACATGTGTCACAAATGCCATGCACAGCCACATCTGGTCAGAACTCTTGGTTTTAACATTCCTTAACTGTGTACTTTAGCATCAAGAACTGACTCCCTCTCCTCAGCCTGACTAGCCCAGAAGTGCAAATCATCATGAGTTCTTCAGTTAACTGGGAAGCTAGATCTCTTAACCAGCGTGCAGAATTTCAACTGAACTCTGCTATAAATAGATGCCCTGCCCTGTCGTCAGTTTGTTCTCAACTCAAAAAGCCTGTTCAAAACAGTGATCAATTTCCTGTTCACCTTTTCTACTGCTCACTTCCCAGGCTATGTTGGTGGAAGCAAGATGCAGAAATCATCTAAGAGAAACAATTTCAAAAAAGAAATGAAACTCAACTTCAACATAAAATGCAGGTTTTCCTACCAGGACTTATCAAAAACAGCATCAAAAAGGGAGGTATGATTACTCTGTTGCAAATCTTTGTGCATCCTTGAATTGTTCTGGTAACAGCATTATTCACCCCCTCCCCCCAAAATGCTTCTTTACATAGACATTAAGTATTGAGACAAATTTAGTGCCACACAAAAGCCCTTTTCAAATGCTCCAACCAATTCATCTTACATTTATACAATGTTGATAATTCTTACCAAGACACAAACCTCACATTTGCCTGTCTACCAATGTCGTAGATTTGATTTCTTCCCCCCCCCCCCCCCCCAAGTGACTGTCATTAACCATAGTGCAGGAGAGATACAAATTTCAATTTTTGTGCTCAATACAAACATGAATAGGGGCATAAGCGTGACCTGCATTCACTGCCTCAAATGGGTGTTAGACTATATGCAATCTTAGGTTAAAAAATGGTATTCAGCATAAGAAACAGGTACTCCCGCTTTCGGATTTCTGAAGAAGGGTCTAGGCCCGAAACGTCAGCCTTCCTGCTCCTATGCTGCTGCTTGGCCTGCTGTGTTCATCCAGCTCTACACCTTGTTATCTCAGGTACTCCCGCTTGATGTTTTACCTCCTTAGCTGGAGGGCACAGATGCCAAGCTTCCCAATTCAAAAGTAACCAATTGCATGCAAATCAGGGATTGAATTTGGAACCTGTTGCAAGTAGTTTAGTAATACACTAGGTGGTGTCTTTATTCAATAATCTGTGAATTGGAGAACAACTTTTCAGATTGATACAAGGTACTGGATTAGTGATTGTATCCAGCAGATGAGTGAAAGGGAAGCCTAATTACATCAGTCTATTCACTGCTCCACACCCTCATCTTTTTAGCTCAGCTGTCAGGTTGTCCATTGATATTCACATGAAGCGTGCATGGCTCTGAAAAATGATTGATGGGATGAATAAGCTAAAATCAAAACAGATATTCTTCCACATGGCAGAGGTCACAGACTTAGAAAGCATTTGTTATTTAAAAAAAAACACGGTCTGAAAGCTCAAATTTTATTACTCAACTTAAAGTTTCTCTCCAATTGCCAATTCTCCCACTTATGTTTGTGTTTTAGAAAGTATTTTAATGAATGCTTTCAGATACACTTTGAACATTTGAATGGGCTACAGGGGGTTTTGAAATCTCTGCTTGTTAAACCTATCAAATTTAAGATTGATTCAAAAATCATCTGCTGCTACATACACAGGTGTAGGACCTTTCTCCAGTCCACAACTCCGAGATCCCAGTTAGACATGATTCGAAATAGCAGAGTGGTTTGCAGCAAAAGTGAACTCAAAAATCAATGAAAAACATGGATCTCTAAATCAAACATGTCAATTAAAAAACCCCAACTATATCCTTCAAGTCTTATTTTGAGGGAATTTTTCTTTCTACATCTTTTGCACAACATTTAACTTAAAATGATATCCTTGTTTCCAATGGCTGAGGGGTAAATAACAGTGGAGCACAGATTTTAAAAAGTGATTGGCATAAGACCCTGAAGCGACAGGAGGAATTTTTTTTTTTTTTAAAAAAAAAAGGAAGAGGTAATGAGTAGTTAGTGTCTTAAATGTACTGCTTTATACAGCTTCAGAAAGTTACTGGAATATATATATCCAGACAAGCAAAAGTTGCAGGAACATGGGGAAAGAGTTGCTGGGTGTTTTCGAAGAGATAACCTGCTTGGTGTGTAAAACAGCAGAAAGACTGGATGGGCTAATTGGCCCCCATTATGTGCTGTGCTATTCTGATTCTCTGCACATAACTAAGCACGAAAGACTGAAATAACTTCATGCCCTCTTGCAAAAATGTACCAGTTTTAGATACCAAATACTTGCGATCAGAGCCTATTTTGCATCTTCCTTTATGTAGGCAACTGATGTCTTACTTTGCTAATGTAAGGTTATTGTTGGATTGTATGTGATGAAATTAAGCCATGTGGTCTAAACAAAATAATGCATCATTTCTGCTCAGTATATTTAAAAGTACACTAATTAGAGCAATCTCATTTCATTACACAAATGATTGTATCTATGAGCTGCACCTCCATCATTGCCAATTGAAGTTACAGATGAGTACTATTGAAGGTGACTGGAATGACATTTCCAGGAAGGATTCCTCCTCTACATGGGTTGCTCAGCGATAATCAGGCTGACAATGCAACACTGTTGAACAAGGTGTGGGTTGTACCATTATTGATGCAGGACATTGGACCAGCTAGTGTATCACATCAACACAGTCATTAACCAAACCTGTAAACACAACCATATTTTCAGACTCGACAATTTAGTAGCGATATCCGCTTTCCTAATGTTATTAGAGGACAGTGCTGGCATTGAAATTGAAATTATTTAAAGGCATCTTTCAACAAGATATATTAAACAATGCTGTTCTTGATTTGTTTGCTACTGCTGGAATCTGGAAGGAAACGGTTAACTTTCCAGTACAAGATTACAGCTTCTAAAGGTTTGCAAGTCTTGCTTTTTTTTTTAAAATATAGAACATCTGCAGCTTTGAGGCAGCTGCCAAAGCACGAGTTAAAATAAACTGGTGAAAGGAAGCTGCCCAGTTCATGGAGAGGGCAGAAACGATATAGTGCAGCAAGTCCCTGACACCGTGTACACAGGCAGAAAGAATCACCCCAGCTGCCCGCTACAAATCTCCCCTGGATCAGCAAAAAGAAATGCGCTTCACAACATTTCACTCATTTTAGCACCTATTATCCCTAGTTTTCATACTCTCTGGGTTCATTCGCATGTCAAACTGACATGTCAGGCTTGTGCATCTGCCCACTCTTTACTGCTTGAGGACACTTTCAATCTGTTGAAATCAAATGGTAAAAAAAAACTTGCCCAAACGTTTTAACTGATTGTATTGAGCCTCAGAATTTATTTTGTTATACAAAGCTTTGAAGATTCTCAACAAGTCACATACAATTGGTCAAGATCCAAACGTCTGCAATTACCCAAGTTAAGAAAAACACAAGATATACCAAAGTGATTTGAAATTCTCAATGTTCCTGTAGTAGGTGACATGGTTTTGTTGTAAAAACAAATTGCACTGGCTTTTGAACTTAGAACTAAAGTGGAGAGTTCACTAATTAAAGGGAAAAGTCACATTAAATTTAGGGTTAAAAACATTAACAGAAGTTCACAAACTTTCCAGGAGTTGCCAGTGACCCCTGCTGCCTGGAATGTAAGCTGTGTACATGTCTATGTGCATATAAGCCCCACACCAAATACATTCAAAGCCACCAGCTGTAAAAAACAAACAACAAAAAAAAAAGGTGCACCCTGGATTCAAAAAAAACTTAGGAGAAATTGAACTTTCAATGCACTGTTCCGCAACTTCTCTTTAAAGTTCAGAGAGTAGAGGGGAAGTGGATCCTGGAATACATTAGAATCAGTGCTGGGAAGGTGTTCTTCAGTTTCTTTGTGGTCCCCACCAGATTTTCTTTGCTTTGGCTTTCACTGCCACTTTCAATGTGAAACACGGTTTCTACAGTTTTCAACTTAATTTCACTGCAGCATTTTTGTTTGCTGTTCGGCAAATTTAGGAGGGATTCATACATCCTCAAATCCTATGTTAAACTAGGCAGCAATACACAGGCACCAAAAGAAACGGTGTGTATTTGGTAAAATGAAGTAGTCAACAACATATGAAAATTGTTGGTACGTGAACATCAAAAGAAGTCAAAGTGTACAGTTCTGAGGAAGGGAGAAAACCAGCATTGTGTTTAATTTGATGAAATGGTTAGCAACCTCAGAACTTGGTGCAATTCAAAATATCTTTGACTAGAGCTGTGCCGTAACATTTACCTTGGGTAACGTGACAAAGTGGAGAGAGTTAATATGGCTCAATGGATAAATTTACCTGTGGTATGACAGCACAAGATAAGCACTTAGCACGGTCATGAGCTTCATTGCTTCGGTATACTGAACAGCTGTCAGGCACAATAAAAAAAAG